GTCGTTCCTCTCTATGGCAAGTTAATAAAGAATGCTTGGACAGGGGGGAAGGGAAGGAGTGAATGAGGGATGAGTGGGGTGTCAGAATGTAATTGGTGAGAGACTGAAGAGATAGAGGGAGAGGTTGGAGGGGATGGGGATATTTTGCAATGGAGGAGGAAAGAGTAGGCCAAGTGAAAGGAAAACAATAAATGTAAGATGAACGATATAGAGAGCGGCGCAGAGGGATAGGTAAACTAATGAGAATTTAGAGTGCGGATATCGATGAAGATTGGTTTGATGGTAAAAGCTGCATTGTCTAATAAAAAATATGGTAGTTTCGTAGCCTGACTGTGGAACAGGTGGTATTTTGGTAACGTTTCTAGTACAGGTGGTATTTTGGTAATTTGTCTCGTACTTGAGGTAGCTTGGTAACATAGACGATACCTGACTAGCGTTTTGTTTATCCAGAATAGCATACCTCTAACATTTTATACAACTTGCAATTGTGTGCAATAATTTTATATATATATATATATATATATATATATATATATATATATATATATATATATATATATAGCATACCTCTAACATTTTATACAACTTGCAATTGTGTGCAATAATTTTATATATATATATATATATATATATATATATATATATATATATATATATATAAATACATATAAATACATATAAATACATATATATATATATATATATATATATATATATATATATATATATATATATATATATATATATATATATATATATATATATATATATGGAGCTTTGAAGTACTGAAAATTATCACATCACATTGGTCACACTTCCACCAAGATCCCCTACACAGCTGTCGATAATGTTGGATCAGGTCAGCGCCATAGCTCTGGGTCACATCTGTTTGTAGTTGTAGGTCACAGCTGTTTGTGGTTCCAGGTCACAGCTTCCGGTCCATCAACCAGCAGGTTAACACACACACACACATAATTTATTGCTCTGGTCACCGGATGTAACAGCTCGCCCATGATAAACCCCCACCCCCAGCCCTTAATATCCCCCATCCCCCACCAATAAACGATGCTGACATACCACCCCCACTCCTTTACTCAAAAAGTCGAACATGTCGGCCAAACAACTCTCTCAGTGAGCACCAAACTGTGACCCCCCCCTAAAATTTGACCCCGCCTCTCCCCTCCCCCATCCATATGGCTGTACGTATAAACGTCAAGTCTAGACACAGACACCTCGAGACAAATAAAATCTTCTCGGCAATAACATTACAAAAAACGTTTTTCCCGACTATTTGCTCAATAACATTATAAAAACTGACTATCTGCTCAATAACATTACAAAAATGTCTTTCCTGAATATCTACCCAATAACATTACAAAAACGTTTTTCCTGACTGACTAACTGCTAAATAACATTACAAAAACTGACTATCTGCTCAATAACATTACAAACACGTTTTTCCTGACAATCTGCTCAATAACATTACAAAAAACGTTTCTCCCGACTATCTGCTCAATAACATTACAAAAAAACGTTTCTCCCGACTGACTATCTGCTCAATAACATTACAAAAAACGTTTCTCCCGACTATCTGCTCAATAACATTACAAAAAAACGTTTCTCCCGACTGACTATCTGCTCAATAACATTACAAAAAACGTTTCTCCCGACTATCTGCTCAATAACATTACAAAAAAACGTTTCTCCCGACTATCTGCTCAATAACATTACAAAAAACGTTTCTCCCGACTGACTATCTGCTCAATAACATTACAAAAAACGTTTCTCCCGACTGACTATCTGCTCAATAACATTACAAAAAACGTTTCTCCCGACTGACTATCTGGAGCAGAGAGCCAGCAAAAGACTGACATGTAAGCGAGATGTAAGAGCCCAGACAAGAGCGTGTAAGAGAAACGTTGACAAGTTAATGTTTGAGTGTACGTCGTTAGGGCAGGGACCGCTAAAAGCTAATGGACAAAGATCACTTATTTCATTGATTTACAACCCGCCTCTGAACCGCGGGAGAGAGACGCGAGAGGGGGGGGGGGGGGAGTTCATTCCTCGCAGAGCCCTGCACATCTCATTGTTGCTGGTCTGGGTGGAATTTTCACCATTGTTTTTTAGTTTGGCGGGTCCAGGGGAGGTGCGGTGGGGCGATTGCCCCCTTTCTTGTAAAACAATGGAGCCAGGTAAAAGACTTTTTAAATAAATCCCGAGGGAGGTGCAACAGTTCATTTTACGCCTAGCTCGGCTTACACTATGTATTATAATATATATATATATATGTATATATATATATATATATATATATATATATATATATATATATATATATATATATATATATATATATATATATATATATATATATGCATTTGGGAGGATAGTAGGGCAAAAAAGTTGACTTTTGTTGTAAACTAAATTTAATGTTAATTGATGACGTAAATGAATGTTTTATTGCTGAGGTAAACTGTACGTTCTGTTGATGACATGAACGTATTGTTCTACTGTTGTAGTAAAACATGTTCTCACGGTGATGTAGAATTAAAAAAAAATATATGTTCGTTAGGACCCGGATGAAGATGAAGTGAAACAAATCAAATGAACCGATAGCACACGCCTAAGGCAATCATCCATTTCACATAAACACAAATGTCAATTAACTACATCCAGGTACGGCTGCTAAAACATCAGTAATTGTTTCAACTCGTTAAGCTAATGGCCGTCTATCAAGCTGTGTGATTAGCACCTCGACATGAGCCCGTCCAGCAGACTAGCCGTCCACAAAACACACACGACCAAGTGCTAGTTAGCGAGTTTAAACAATAAAACATCAGCGAGGCTTAGCTTCAATATGGCGGTGTGTTTGATTATGATGTCTGTATGTTTTTTTAATTAAATATTTTGTGCTTCTCTCTACATTGAGAATTCAACAAAATTTTCGCAATTAATGGTATTCAATCTGAACAGCTGAATCATTATAAACATTTTTTTCGGATACAAAATTTGCAAGAATCATTTGAAAGAATTTTGTATTTAAGTAGAATTTATTTATTTATGTTATTTTATCAAAGGCAAGTTCTTGATTTAGCTTTTCATATATTTTTTAACTATTAGACTCGGAAATCTTATCAAAGGCCAAAATAGACCAACACATTGAACAATAGATTGACCATTCTATTGGTCAACACATTGACCAACACATAAATAGAAGATGGCTAACACGGAGACTAGCGACTAATGACAATCTCCCTTTCAAACAGTTAACATAAGTCCACGAGTCACACTAACCATCCCATCAAATCCCAAACTGATCTATACAACGTCTTATAATACAGAAGATAGATTACATGTATTTAGCTCGAGCTAGGTTTTTCCACTGCTTCCTACTTCTATAACCTCCAAATTTTTTACTTTCTCGTATATACGAAGTATAGAGAAAGTCTTGTAATCGTGCAAAAAAAAAAATCGAGATTTTTGCAAATCTCGACGTTTTACATCTCACTGATACGGAAAAACATAATTTTGCAATCTTGTCCGTATGTCTGTGTGTCTGTGTGTGTGTGTGTGTGTCCGTGTGTAAACACGATAACTTGAGTACCGTTACAGCTAGGTTGATGAAATTTCATATACAAGTATTTTATCAAAATCGTAGATCCGTATCAACTTTTGAGCGATTTCGGATAACCGGAAGTGGTACTTTTTCTACTTTGAATTTTTCAAAAGCCTATAACTTGAGTACTATTACAGATAGATAAATGAAATTTGATATGTAAGTAAAAGATCTAATTCTCTACCTTCTGTCAAATTTTGAGAATTTTTCGTTGACCGGAAGTACTTATTTACGCTACTTCCGATTTCTCAAAAAACTAATGTAAATTTTAAAAGTACTAATAATATTGCGCACTATTATGCGCTTTTTTATTCGCGTTCACTTGGTGTGCAATTAATTTGTCTACGAGATTTTATTCTATTTTTAAAACTTTAAGTATTTAAAATGGATTAAAAATCATGTCTATAGCCCGAGTTCCCATCCCCTGTTATTTTAGATAAGAATATTCGAGAAAGTTTAGGGGAGATCACTCCCGGTTTATTTTAACGGATTATCTCCCATCTCAAGATTTAACACGTATTACTTCCCATTTAAACAGAACATATTACCTCCCTTATAGTACGTGCATGAAAATCCCGAGCTCAAGACGTATGCTTGTGTGACTACACCACAGTGTGGCGATGAAATATCGGCAAAGTCCTCTGGGGTCGAACGGTTTTTTTTTTCAAACTTGGCCATTGAGAATCCCGGGGGAGGGGCCGGCCCAAGCACGATGGAGGGAGAAAGATGAGGGGATTGATAACTTTACCGATTGCGTCGGGCGGTCATCACTTCCGTCATTCAGCTCGATACCGGGACACAGTCGTTGGTGGACCGAATCGATACCGTGCTTAGATCTCACTTAGTATTACTACAGGGATCGATGCATTTTAAATGCTGGAATCGATTTCGGTATTAATGAGATGTGGTGGGACCTTATGATTCAGTACTCGTGTTGTAAGGTTAGGTTTCGTGAAAGAGGATAGAGGGTATGACGTTTCATTGTAGGACCTCTACAAGTGTAGTAGGACAACAGGACATTTTTAAGCTGGACATAAATCACATTTACTATGACATTTGTGATAAACCAAGTTCTTATTAGTGTTCTTTTGCGGCTAAATTGATCTTTAACTTAGGTTAGTGGCCAAAGAGCATTAAATTAAACTAGACTTATATCGAATTTTGAACAATATGTACGTCTTTGAAATTGAGACTGTAGGTAATAAGTCGTAAAGTTAATGTATGATATATTGGTATATGGGTAGGAAATGTCATGAAAACAAGGTGCAGTTTGATATTTGGGATACATGAAAAACGTGTGTTAAAAATGTAGTAACATGTCACAAAAACAAAATAAAAATCCAAACACAAATGAGGGCACGTGCATATCTAGATGAGTACTCACGATAAAACTGGCGTTGATGTAGTCGGAGTTGGAGACGTTGGCGTTGGAGGACAGGATGACGCGGGAGTGGTCATCTGTGGACGTAGGAAAAAACTGTCATTGAACGTGGACATTTTATGCGACATTTCAACCCAAAAAAAAACAACACGACATTGAAATTTCTTGTAATAGTAATGTACTTTTAGATAAAAAAATTAATTAGCTAAAAAAGCAAAACAGTTTAAAAAAAAACCTCTAAATAACACATGACAAAAAGTGTTAAACAAATTCTTTTGTAGGTTTTCTACCGACAGATTTATTTTTACGATTTTGCTAATTAAGAAGAAATTAATTAGTTTCTTTCATTAATCTGATGTTGCAATGTCATGTTGCTGTGTAATGGGCAAAACATATTTTTGTGTATTAGAGTTGATATTTTTACTTTAACATGGAGTTTATAGTCCAAGAAGGTAACATAGATAGCATCTACACACAAAACATAGCGACCTAATGCACTCAAGTTGAAACATCTTGGCAAAACAAATACCCTTTTACTTTACTAGAATTGTGAACATAACAAGGGGAATAATTCATCAATTACCTCAGCTTGAGTTATAAATTGAGCTTGGGATAATGGCAACAAATTGCCAGATAAAGCTAATGACTGACCCTGCTAACTAAACCGAATCTTCCATACATGGCAATAAACAAATATATTGTCCTGGCAACTTTTAGTATCGAATTTCAGGCTCCTCTTGACAAATGAGGCCAAATTTAATGTGCTATTAATGTATTCCTTTTTTTTAAAGAACACTATTGGATACTAAATATAGATTTGCTCACTACAACAGAAGAAGGCGTGACGCAAGTATGACAAAGTGATACAGGTAGGCCTATGGGATTTAGCTTTGTTGTTGTTGTAGCAAAATGGCGGATAGGCCTTGGCAGTAAGGCGCTTTTATTAATGACCTATCAGGATTAAGAATGACCTAATCCTAATAATCTCTACCCTAATTAATGTCAGATTAGATAGTAGTACTGTGGCAGAACAGGATTATGGTGAGGTTATATGTGATTTTGTATGTCGACTATGTGAGTGATGTATGTGTCATTAACACGTGCTGTATGTCATGCTTGTGTGATTGACATATATCTCAGTGACAAACAGACAAAACCATAAGACAATACTAAAAAACCATGGGAATAAAACCTTGAAGTACTTGCACTTGCTATATGTGATGTATGTACCAGTTACATGTTCTATATGTGATGTATGTACCAGTTACATGTTCTATATGTGATATATGTACCAGTTACATGTTCTATATGTGATGTATGTACCAGTTACATGTTCTATATGTGATATATGTACCAGTTACATGTTTTATATGTGATGTATGTACCAGTTACATGTTCTATATGTGATGTATGTACCAGTTACATGTTCTATATGTGATGTATGAGTCAGTGACGTTTACCATCAGAGGTGTGCTTTATGTGTAGAATGTAGCAGCTATTTATTTGCTAATAGTGTCGGTCACGCGTGATCCATTATACCACGTTGATTTGTTAAGTAACTAATTAATGAGACCAAGACAGCCCGCTACCTCATTAGTCTCTCAATTTGTACGATCACGATCGTGGCGTGTGTCATCTCACGTGACAAACCTACCAGACAGTTAATGGGAAAAAAGCGGAGAAGGGGGGGGGCTGCAAGCCCATCAGAGCTTCTCTTAATAAAAAGTACAGGACCTGTCACGCTAGGCTATTCCCTGTTGTCTTCAGCTCCAGGGTAGGGGCCGGGGGGGGGGGGGAGGGGGGGGGGGGAGTATCGATTTTCGTGTGACTTGTCAAAGATTTCTCTCTTTTCGTCTATGCCACGATTTGAATTTGACGCGACGGACAGGGGGGATCTGTGGATCTAGTGTTGGGTCAAATTCATTAGTTGAATCACCAGGTATGGAGAAAACAGAAATCCATATTCGTATGAAGGTACAGGGGGTGTGTCTTGAAGGTGAGTAGTGTTTAACCAGGGTGAGACAGAAACTCACGTCGTGTTTACTGAGCACGCTAGTAGGTGAAGAACATGCACGTGAAGATTAACAAACGATAGTGTACTCACACTACTAAAACTAAAACCTGTTTAAAAATGTATAACTAAAACTGCACAAGAATCAGATTTTAAACTGCAAGGACTGTGTAAAAAAGCACGGTAACAAATCTAGGCGGGAGGTGATTACATGAAGTATTTTTTTTCAACAAGAGATGGTGGTATTATAGTGATGAGGGGGGGGGGGGTGGCGTAAGGCTGTTGGCATGTTCAGATAAGGAGTTGGGCGGAGGGAACAATCAATATTCTATGCATAACCACGTGTTCGATAGCCAATATTTCATGACAGGATGTGAATATTAAGGAGGCAACTGAAAGCAAGGTTACAGAAGGAACTAGGTTGCCTCTTATAATGAACAAGAGTATTGGAGTAGAAGGGAGTGGGGGTGAACTCCTCCAGTGTTATATTGGTGTTGGGGTGAGGAGGGAGGGAGGGAGGGTGGTGGGTGTAGCTGAAGGCAGTACAAGACATGAAGACAGCAATAGGATGTGACCCGGCCATAAAACATGGCGTTGTGGTGTTAGTGCTTGGTAATGTGAATGGTGGGTAGAATGTCTATTTCTGGGAGTGTGCGGGTGTGTGTGTGTGTATTTGTGCTGCATTATGTGTGTATGGCTGTATGCTTGTGAGTGTGTATGTATGTATGTATGGGTGTGGCATTGTGCTTGTGTGTGAATGTGTGTTGCATTGTGTGTTACAGTGTGTGTTTATGTGAGTTTGTGGTAGTGCGGGTGTATTGCAACGTTTGAATATGGCGGCGGTATGTGTAATAGTACGTGTGTTTAGTATGAGAGTAAGAAGGATAGCAATTTTTAAATGAGACTGATAGAAGAGACCAAGAGACAAGACCAAGAAATGAGATCTAGAGACGAGACCATCAGACGAGACTAAGAAACCAAGAGACTAAAACCTTGAAGCACTAGCAAACTTAGAAAAAAAATGGAGTAATATTTATAATGAAACTAAAATTGCGAATCAATATTTGGTAATGATGCACGCACATGAACCCCTTCAAGTCTGAAGCGGTAAAACAGCAGGAAGTAAAAAAAAAGCTTAGACTAGACTCAGTTTTAAAATTTAATAAAAGTTCCATCAAGATTTTTTTTTGTGGCCCTACGCAACAGTCGTTTTTTTTTCGCCCCCAGTCTTGGCGTGTGGCGGCCTCATTAAGCAAATACCGCCTTCTGGGTGTCAGGGGCGTGTTCTTCGTGCTCGGGGGGTGGTCTGAGGGACGGTGGTCTGAGGGAGGGGTGGGGGGTGGGGGGAGGTGCGCCTCATAGTAGTATTTAACAACCAACGAGGAAGCCTTCCAGTCTGTCAAGATTTTACAAGTGATAAAAAAGATGTAATAAAAATATTCTAACGTGTCTCGAAGCTAAGATTGTGTATGATATTAATGGAAGTTCAATCATGAATCGAAAATTTAAATTTGGAGAATATTCTACACATTTTGATGCAATCTCCTTGCAATTTAAGTTATTTTTTATATTTATGTAGTTTTAATATGTTTTGGGATAAAACTGTAAATAAGCAAGCAATTAAGGAAATATCTTATTTTTTATTCATTACAAGGAGTCTTGACAACATGAGGCTGTAGAACTTGATAAAACGATTTACAAAAAATTAACACAGATGATGGGATGACTGAAAGATATGTGGTGGGGGTGGGTAAGAAAGGGGTGGGGTGTGACAAACACAGCGATGAAAAACAGACGTGTCAAATGAAATCAAATTGGGGTCAACACCATCCCTTTGGATAAAACCGTCAACAAAACATGCGCAAACGGCTTCAGAAGCTGTAGCGCGTGCTTCATGAGGCTGAGCAGGCTAGCTATGCCGGCAGACTTCTCATTAATGGATCGATGTCCGGCTCTAATGGTACGTCCCTTAGAAAACAATTTCCATAGGATCCCCCAATACACTGATTATACGTGAACAGATTAGTCCCATCTTTGAAATGAGAACATAATTTTTAAAAAGGGAAAAAAAATCCATAAATAAATATTTCCGCCCGATCGACTGGTCGATTTAATTCGCATCATTACGGCAAGTAGCCGGCGAGGTTAGGGTAAAAACCAGAACAGATGGAACAAGGGAAAAAACACATGGTCACGCCTTAAAAAAAAAAAAAAAGAAAATGTGTAAAAAAAATTAGAAGAGTAAGGGTGGGGAAAAATGTGTGTGAGAAAGATTGACATAGTGAGGGAGTGGGGGGAGGGGGGAAGTGAGGGAGGGTGTGAGGGAGGGAGAGAAGGGAGACACGATGAGAACTGAAACCGTGTCTCCAGGTTTGGCGAGCGATGGCATCTTAATTGTGGTGAGTAACGCAGCGCTGGTGTTGTGTACAGAAGGAGCATGGTGCTCTGTATGCCATACAAAATGGTGGAGGGCTATATATATATATGTGTAGGCATATATATATATATATATATATATATATATATATATATATATATATATATATATATATATATATATTGTTGATGCCTATAACAATATATATATATATATATATATATATATATATATATATATATATGATTTTTAGCTTTAGGTATATTGATGTATTTATGAATACATGCATTTGTAGATTTCACATGGGCAGAGACACCTAAAACCTGCACGTGCTAAATGTGTTCTGAGCAAAAGGTGAGAATGAAAGCAGGTGTGTGCGCACCTGACACGGTGTCCACGCACCGTCGTGCACGTGTGTCGCTTGATGAGACCTGTAATCACCCAAGCGTCGCATGCGCCGTGGCATTAGTGTGAGTAAAATTGCCGCGACGTAAGTCTAGCGTGGCAGACGGCCCTAGCGTTACGAGACCCGACCAACGGATCTCCTGGGTGAAATTAATGTTACAGAGATTGCAAAGAGCGGCCAGGGATGGGTATTTCGACTAGTGCTTGTCCGCGGGTTGGCTGGTTATTGGAACGGATGTCGGAACACAATCTGAGCAGTATTGATTAGTTAATTAAATGTGGGA